CACAATGCGTCGATAACTTTCTTCTGATCGGAATGGCCTACAACTTGCCACATTCCGTATCGAAATAAACAAGTCCTCCTTTATTGGTTCATCCACATGCATCACGCTAATCTCAAAGGCTTTTAAGATTCCTATGCTTTGATTTGTTATAAGACTTTCTCCTTAAAACGTTCTTTGTTTTTAGTCCTAACAATAAGTGACAACAAACATCAAGTATGACAGAGGAAATTCGTTACCGAGATGCTTAGCATCGCTGGTTTAAAGTCGCCTGTTTCAAACGCTTTGGTGATTTGCAAGAGTTATCTCCCTGTTAACGCAAACCTTACCTTAAAATGCTTACACAACTTTTTTGATAAAATTATTTTCATCAAGAGAAATAACTTATTTTTCACAGTGTACATTCTATTTAAAACAAGAAAATATACAAACAAGTCAGTAGCATTTGTCGATACATGTATTTAACATATTCTAACATGAGTACAAATTATAAGATTTCAGCAAAATTATTTAGTAGTTAAACATGTATATACTGTACATGTACAAATGAATAACATATTTAGTTCATGTATAAAAATACCATATGACATGAAAGTGTCCAAAGCAAAATTGAAATATCAGCAATAACATTTGTCATGTATTCTCTATTGTAAATTTATGAAAAATCAAGTTATTGATTATTTCAGCATACAATAAGAATATGGGAAATTTTCACAGCTAAAATTCAGACAAGATTGTGTACATCCTCCCCATTTCATAATTATTCCATTTATTTCCTTGTTCTTTTTCCTTCTGTATCTTTCAATTTTTTCAGTTGTCCTCCCTTTGATCTTCCATGACCATTTTGAAAATCTCTTTGAACAGTACCGTAACAAAAATGAATATCCACCACTTCTCCTCTTCCTGAACAATTTCTTTGTGGCTCAGAATGGTCTCTACAAAAATTTCAAAAGTAAAAATAAAATAATTCTTAAATTCTATGAGTTATAAAAGTTACTTAGGTATAATCAGCAAACAAATGTATGCCCAATTCACTGACACAGGTATGATACAAGATAAAACTAACGTTATATATGTTATACTAGGTGTTTTGAGGAATCCTATGATGTAATTTGAAAACAATTACACTATTGAAAGATATGCTTCATAATAAAATCATAAAACGCAATTTTTTGTTATTTTGACAATTAAATTTGGAATGTTCAAACAGTATATATTAATTCAGATTAAAATAATAAGAAGATTCTGATACAAATACATGTATATTATTTTTGGACAAAAAATACTACAGACAAGTAGACAGGCAGAAAAACAGACATTGTGATTCCAAGATATCCCAAACTTTTGGGAAGACTATAACAAAGTTTATTTAACAGTGTGTAGTTACCTTAACTTTAAAGCAAGCCTTGGATCTTGGGATTTGTTCTTTATCTTATGAGAGGCTGACTGTATATTGAACCTGTAAGACAAATACTCACAGTCTCACACAGTAGATATTTTCTAAGAATACATTTAATCAAAACTTAAACTATTAAAAAGAGAGAGTACAAGTTTGTAGGTTCTCTATAGTCTTAAATATATTTAACATTTAACCCGAAACTATAGGCACGCGCACCATAAATCCAATTTATCCCCGCTCTCCCCAAAAAGTTATTGTATACTATATAGTTTCATAGTCTATACAGCCAGCAAAATCTATTCATACTTTGCATTTTTTAAGTGCACTGGATTAAAATTATAATGTAGAATAAAATTTCTAGAGTATTGAGTTGAGTTGAATTTATTTTTGATGAAGCCATGCAAACAATGTAGAATTATAAAAGAACAAAAAAAAAATAATAATAAAGAAATATTTTGTCATAAAGAGACATTACAGATACTTTGATTTTTTATTGCAAGTATTTATTTTTACCTTCAATATTGTGATGATGCAATCGTCTGTCAAATCAGCTTCAGGATCAATCGCCAGTCTTATCAGCTTCGGGCTCTTTGGACTGAAAAAACAGCACTGTGACACTGAACTCAAGTTGCCGAATGCATCTATAGGCCATAAAAACAAACATTTGTCATTAAGTTGAAGAAGGAATCCGGACTTGATAACGATCTCAACATACATAACGCCAACTGACATACAAGGTTTCTACTTTCACTTTCATATCAGTACGTAACAAAACGAAAACAAATTCAAGTTTTAAAAAGTAGCAATGCCCTTAGCCTAACATGTAATGTTTACATTCATTCAGAAACAAATTTTATCCAAACTTACTAACAGATCACGAACGTTACGTTTATGAAATGCATGCAAGTATTGAAGTAATAAGAATATTTTATACAGAAAGTTCATACGCACCATAATGAACTAATATTGAAACAATATGAATCAAAAGTCTTTAAAATAATATTGTTAGGAGATCACTTGCCTTTTCCAAACACCCAACACGTCTGCTGCAGCAGTGACGTCAAAAATGACGTATATTTTCATCCGATAAAAGACAATACCGGCCTGGACAAAAAAACGGAATTATTTTAATTGTACTTAGCCAAACCCAAAAGATTTAAAATGAAAAGCAAATTAATTTATTCTTTATCTATTTCGCCTGGGAAATGCATTATAACAGAAAAAATTATGAAAGGTTTTTTTTTTAGAAGGAAGGGGGGGGGGTAGGGTAAACAGAGTAGAACTTTACATATAATTAATAACTAAAAATTCTTTTGAATTAATGTACATTTAAATTTATCTTTTGATATATATTATTGAAATTGCAATTTTACTTCAGTATAACAAGGACAGATAAGTGAACATTGTTTCATATGATTCTCATATGATCAGTTTCATATGATTCTCATATGATTATTGTCAGAATATTCATATGATTCTCATATGCAGGATCTTTCATATGAGAATCATATGTATATTACTTCATATGATTTACATATGTGTAATCATATGATTCTCATATGATTTGCCACATATGATTCTCATATGATTGTATATACATATGATTCTCATATGATCCACATATGATCCTCATATGAAAGGCAATACATATGTGAATCATATGTGGATAATTGCCTATGTAGGAATCCAAAAGAACACTGTAAAAAATGCGCTTAGAAAATAAACACTTCATTTACATGTTTTGGCCTAAACATGTACAAGATTGTGTTTAACGGCTAAACACTTAGATCTAAACGTGTGTTATACGTCATGAAATTTAATGTGTTTAGAATTTCAATGCATAAAAAAAGTGTGACAAGAGTGTGCTTAGGAAAGTGTCTATCATCTAAACACATTTTTTACAGTGAAGTTATATAAGTTTCGTTACCAAAGCCGAAGATAATACGAGAATTTAACATTGACTTTGTGCTATTGTTTTACTGTCACTTAAAGTACACATCATTTGCACATCAGTTGAGGGGTACAGCCATACTTTTTCTGGCCAGGCCATAGTAGAATTTGTTAATGATATCGATGGGGTAACCTGCATCACCTTTCAGAGTCTACAGTAGACTCTTCCAAGGATGCTTTGTCAGCGACTGTTAAAAGTTACCTGAGATTCCTACGCAAAGGAAAGCGCGAAATCTCTGTATAGAAACTGTTGCGGCTGCGGAGCTTCACTTATATCGTTCATTCGCCATAGAGAAGAATCCGATATCTAACACTTCATATCTTTGTACACGTATATACAGACGTTTTCAAGATAAGCTTCATTTTTGTTTCTAGAAATATTTTTATCTACAAAAATAATAAATATTTTGTGTTTTTAAACTGAGTAAATCGATAACCTAGCACTGTATTTAGATAACTCAAGTCCCTCTAGGGTTTGCCTAAAAATGGAAGATGTAGCTAAAATTGCTTACAGCATGCATTGGTGATTTTTGCCGAAAAGCCGTAAGTCCAATTTAAATGGGAAAAATCAAGATAAAGTAATTATTAGTTTTCCAACTTTATAATTTTGTAACCAATAAAATGATAGATAAATAAATAAATAAAAGGTTTTAGCTGAATAATGACTTTCTAATTAAAAGTACGTTTAAAGTGAATACGTTTTAGTTCATGTATGACATTTCAGAGAGAGAGAGAGAGAGGTGAGTAAGTGTGTATTGTTACTAACATCATTTGGTCTGACCTGGTCTAAACTTTATGAAGTCAATTTGATCAACAGCGCTTCTTCATGGCTATGTTAAAGGCATATTGTAAAAAAGAAGTTGATATAATGATTATAATAGACAAATAAATATCGTATTTTTGTTTTGCAGTAAACTCGACAAAACAAAAACAACGTTTTAAAGTTACAATCAATGAATCAAACCTACAAAAGAATACTCCAGAGCAGCCTTTAGACACTTCTGGTGATACTGTAGTAGAGATACTTTTATTTGAAATAATAAAAGTTGGAGTGATTTTAAATGAAATAAAATAAATATTAAATATAAATTAAATAGACTAAATAAACTGTTAAATAAGTTATAAATGATAGTTTTCCGTTAAAGTTTATTCTTTTCTTTCTTTACTAACTTGGGAATTTAGTGCTATAGTTATACACCCCTTTGGATCCACACCTGTACATACACTTATACATGACCACACACATATCTATTGGTCAGTTTTTGAAATACTTAGTTTTCATTGGTTAGTGTTTTGGTCTTTGTGGGGTAGTGAGTTTTATTCAGTTTAGACTCTAGAATTCTGATTTCTTATGAGAAGACGTAGTTTACTTTGCTGTTGAAATATTTATTTCCAAAGACCTTGAGACCTAAGACAGTTCCAGAAATGTAAGTTTTTACTTGTTTTATGCTACAATATATGTTTTCTATAATATTTATGTTAAAAATATGAAAACAAGATATTTTACTTTTAATTGTTACATTCTGAGTTATCTGTCTATTTATTCAGATATTGATAAATCTGATGAAGTTTTCCTATAAATTAAATAGTATATAAACCTGAAAATAGTTTAAAGTGAAGATTTTGGTAATAAGATAATCTAAATAATTATTTATTTTGAGAAAGGTATTTGTATAGAGCAAGTCCTTATTATTATATTTATTGTACATAGGTAACACCATAAAATAAAGAAATGTATATTTGAATTGGAGAAAGTTCAGTTCCATAAATTGGTATGTCTATCTGTATATATATATTTATGATTTGTAAAGAAATATCAAAGAAAGATAACTCTTCACAAGATTGTAAAGTATAATTGCATTATAAGAGTTAACTCCCTTATATCATGTGTAAAGTATATTTCTTGTGTATTATCATAGTAAATGATGATAATTTATTGTAAAAGGGAAGACAGATAATTTGTTATATTTTATAATCGGAATGTTTAATTGAAATACTATTTTGTACATATTTTTATGACGCAATTTGTATATTGCAGGACTTCGTTATATTATATTCCAATCATCTAAAGATATCATCAAAATAAACGTATAAATTATCAACTGTGTTTTCCATCATCATTGCCGGGAATACCCGCTACAAAATGGCGCCCAACGGAAAATCCACATAGGCCTAGACTCGAGCAACCAGACCACTGACTGGTGATTCCGGAAATATCCGATCCACCAACTTTACCAAGCGCTTTCGTGACACTGATCAGTGACTGTGAGTAATTCATTCGAATTTTCTCTATTGACATTTTCACGTGAGGACCACCTGCGCAGGCCATCAACAACGCTGGATTAAAGTAAATTTATTTGATTAACATTATATTTAGTATTTGTTTATTTATTTATTCAACAGGATACTATAGTTAGTGTAAAATTATTGACTTTTGATTGAATTTTACCTGGCCAGATAAGAGATGTAAAAATTTTGTAAACACGTGTTGTTGAAAACAGAGACAGAGATTTTTCGGTCGTCTTACATTGTTGATTATTTCCATATTAATTTATTATTGAAGTAATTTCTTAGTACAAATATTTATAAAATACTTTGACTTAGACTAAAGAAAACGGACTGACGCAGGTACAGTTGGCCAGTAAGTTTGTTGTATGGGGTAGTGTTGTAGAGGAAATTCGGTTTGGTATTGTATAGATCAGTTCAGTTGAGTCAAGGTAAGCCAGTGAATATGAGAATTTGAATTTGTCGAGGTATACAGTGAATACAGAACTACATTTGTATTTACATTGAAACCCATACAGTATAAATATAGAACAAGAATACAGAGTCTGATCAAAAGTTTGTCTGTCATGGTGTCCACTTAGTTTAGTGTTAAGCTACTAACATCTTAGCTTTTGATCTTTTCAGCTAGAAATATAAATAAGTTAAAAAAAAAAAATCGTGTAACATTTTGTGTGTTTATTGCAAAATGTAAATTGTTTAAAACAATTTAAACATGTAGATTGTTTAAAACAACATAAACAAACAAGTCTTTATTTACAGGCAATCAGCGTGTCGGTTTATTTATTTCATCTGTCAGTTAGATGCGCGTCGGTTTCTTTGTGTTTGAGTTGTCATTTATTTTTTTTTTACATGCTTGCTATACATTTGTAATTTTTGCATTGATTAGTGAAATACTTGCATGATTTGGTATTTATTAGTCATTATCATCATGGCAGAGTTCTCAGAGACAGAAAAGTCTGACTTGTTGTCTACATTTCAGGCATTAGAGATCAAACCAGAAGGTAGTACCCCTGAAGAATTTAAGAATTGGGTTTTAAAATATGCTGATTCCTTAAAGAAGGAATTACCCATGCCGTCTGATCATGCTAGTCCTGGTGACCATGCCCTTGTCCCTCCTAGTCCTAACCCATTCCTGAGTGACCATGTCCCTCCCAGTCCTAACCCATTTGCCCATGACCTTACCCCTTCCAAGCCTGGTCTATTTGCCCATGACCTTACACTGCCCACTTCCTCGACCCACATTCCTTTGAGTGGTGTCCCTAAAATATCAGGGTTTGCAGGTGACAAAAAGGGTGATATTTTATATGACCAATGGAGATACGAGGTAAAGTGTTTGCAAGCAAATGATTTTTCAGAGAACATTATTTGTTTAGCGATCAGGCGATCATTGCGTTCTCCAGCGAGTAGAGTGCTTATGCGTCTAGGACCAAATGCAACCGTGGAGGAAATTTTAAATAAACTAGACAGCATCTATGGTATTGTAGAAGAGAAAGAAACACTACTTGCCAACTTCTATAGTGCAAAGCAAGGAGAAAGTGAGGATATCTCAACATGGGGATGCAGACTAGAGGATTTACTCAGCAAAGCTGTCATGCGAGGACAAGTGAAGCAAGGAGATGAA